ATTGTTGAATCATATAACAGCTTATTGCTATAAAAGTTTTTTAAAATATGTAACAAAGAAATCTACTAGTGGTTATTAAGATATAGCTGCGGTGATAATTTAATATGATTGTACTTTTGGTGGGCTCTATTACATATGTACTTAAAGTAAGATTTTCTTTCTTTTCCAATTCATTATCAAGTCGTTTTTCAATTCTTAAAACTTCTTAGTCTAACAAATGACCAGAAAGTTTATCTTGTAATAGAAGCTTATATCCAGGAATCACGAATTGAAATAAATCAATTATATAAAGATTTTCTATAGTTTTGAATAAAAAATTGCTCATTACACAAGCTTTTAAAATAGTCTGGTTTAAGGATTATACTCATAGTTTAGAAATTGGTTCAATTTTTTGAAAGTGAATTGTAATTTCAGATTGCTTATATTTGAATTTCTGTGTAAGTGTCTTTTCTTCAGCAATAAAATCTCTCCAAAAAAATTTAATATCGTCAGAAACATTCATATATTGTGAGCAAGATGTAAATGTATTTCATTTGGTCGACCTTTATCCTATATAATATTGCACCACTTACAACTAGCCCTATAATATTCCTGTTCTAAACTAGTGTCTTTATTAATATATTTCCAAATATCACCTTGTTTCTTATTACTAGTATATTTGTGTTTTTTATTAAGAGATTGACTTAATTCATTTGTTTCATTAAATTTTTGTTTATTTTTACTAAGTATATTAGAAGCATTCTCTAAAAAACTAGTATTAGTATTACTAGTACTAGTGCTTGCAAAAGAATAAAAATCCGAACTTTATTGTGAAGTCATTTTTTTAATTTTATAAAAAAAAATAGACTTTGTTACAAAAAATTAACTTTTATCGAATCTAATAGGATATTTATACATAGCTAAAAAAATACTTTAAATTTTTATTAATTTATATGCTTATTTATAGCACATATTTATAAAATTACTATATATTTACTAATTGAGTGCTTGGGGCTTCAAATATTTATTTATTTTTAATTTTATTTGATTTACTATGCTAATTATTCTTTTTTGTATGAAAGTAAGGGTCAAGAAACTTTGAATTTTTACACTTTTTCATATAGCCTATGATGCGGCTCCATCTATTTTGTTCTTATTACTTTCTTCGTGTTTAGAATTTATATGTAATGAATTCCATTATTTCACTTTTTGAGTTAGACCAAGTAGGCTTCTATCACAAGAACAAAATCAATATCATATATCTACTTCTATCAATCTTTATTTATCACTATAGAACAATTAGCCTCAATTGGTCATATTTATTAAAGGTTTTAAAAAAAATAACGATAAAGTTATCATTTTAGATTATGTCATTAAAATTCTGGTAAAACTTGATTTGATGAATTTATAGCAGGTTTTAACTTGTTGTATAAATGATCAAGTAAGCTTTAAGATTTTTTACTAGCTTTTTGAATTTTTGGATTAATTCATAAAGATCTATAGATCAGCTATTTTGATATAAGGAAGTTCAAGGATTTTTTACTTTGAATAGATTTTTTGATGGATTAGATAATATACAGAATATTAGTAAGAAAGTCTGGCACAAAGCTGTTATGTAGCAATTTGGATAAGATGTGATGACTTAGCCAT